AGAGGCTCTCTGCTGCCACCTGCCGTTTGATGCGATGGTAGGCACAAAACTTCTGTGAGCGGAGGGGATGCGGGGGTTATCATAGCATTCACCTGAAAGTGCTAGATATGAAAGGTAAAGACCATAAAGTGTTAGGTAGACAAGCGACGGTGGGGAGAAAGAACTCTGTTTTAAAGGGAAGAAACTTCAGAATCAGGGAGGGGCAGAAAAAAGACGAGCACAAAGGGATCAGGACAAATAAAAAAACAAAACAAAACAAAACAAAACAAAACAAACAAAAACAGTAAGATGAGAGAAAAGTTAGTGATTAGTGGCATATGAACATCAGGATAGAAAAGAGGGAGGTGGAGGAGTCCAGAGTATATCATAAGATTTCATTTTCAGGGGCTCGAGTTGGGAAAAATAGAAAATAAAAGCATAAGAAATCAGAAAAGGAATCATAAAGAAACACCAAGATAAACCATTTAACAAATGACTTATAGTAATGCAACTGTGGACACACTTCTGACTTTGCAGCTGATAATGCAAGGCTATCTTGTTTTGCGTTTATAATCACCACAGGTTACAGCGCATGCCTATATAATATTTCAAAGGGGGATCTGTCCTCCTGTCATTTCTGCATATTGCGGCACTGATATGATCACAGAATTTATGCTTGGTGGAGACAAAAAAAAATGGAGGTGCAGGGGTGGCACCTCTGGTTTCAGACCTACTCGTTTGCACTGATGCACCTGGCTTTCAGAACAGGATGAAAAATGGTTGAGAAACAGTGAGAAAGAGGACCTGAGTGGCTGTTCTTACTTAAGTTACCCCCTCTCTGACCTGTGCAGTTGATCAAATAGAAAGAAACCACTGAGGATTGCTGGGAACTGAAGTTGTGTGTCATCAACAATAAATAAATAAAAAATTACCTGTGGGAGAAACGTGATTATCTGTCGTGACCTGTACATTTGTAACTTTGCACAAAATGCAAGTTTTATTTTTAATCTAAAATAATACACTTTTATATAATAACACTCTAAATGTCTCGACGTTACAATAGTATGGATAACTAATTGCAATTTATATTCTGACCACTCTCTACCCTTCTGTACACAGTGCTTCCTTTATTATAGATTTATTTTATTTATTGGCGTGTCGGAAATCTCGCAAAGTAAGAATATCATTGCTCAGCGTGACCACTTTGTTCTGGACAAATACATTTCTTGATTAGAAATTAAATATGTTCCTTATCATGATTACAACAAAACCAGCCTTACAAGCTTTTAAAGCTGTAAAGATCTTATAATTTTAAATTGCCCGCAAATGATCACCCCAACCTCTTCCTGTTAGGCACGTGTGACGTCACTGATGCTCGGTCCAGAACGGGTTGGGTCTCTGGTTTGGGAGTCTTCTGGGTGGCAGCAGGGTGGGAAAAAAGTGAAGTCGTATACAGTTACCCAGGAAACCGTGCGAAATAAAGCAGAGCCTTACAATTAAAAGCATCAACGCGTTTACTAAGTACGAAACTTTTCAACTTAAATTGATAATAAATATTAAAATCATCAAGTGGAAATAGAAGTTAATCTCAAGATGATCATTGTGCACTTTCACTGTATTCTACAGGCGCATGATAACAGCATACTTACTACGGTGCAAAATATGCATTCACGTTTTTTAAAGCTGTTAGGGAATAGGGATTTTATTTTGAAGGTCTCGGCCAGAAGTCCTATTATTCTAATGCTGTGTGGCGTGACAGTGGCGAGGGAGGTTGATCGCAGAGAAAGTGAGAGAACAGAGAGACAGAGGGAGATGGCTGAAAGGCTGGAGCAGTGGACCAGGTCAGGAGCGAGTCTGGACAGCAGTCTAAGGTGATCTTGATCATCCAGAGGTGTCTGCGCCGTGGAACGAGAGTCCAGACCGCGCAAATCCCCCGTCACGGCGCTCCAGCCCGGCCTGACCGAGGACTGTGTGGCAGACACCGTCTTCGGCTGCCCATCCTGGAAACATTTTCACTGTCTTAACATTTCCTAGCTGCAGGACCGCTCAGCTTCACCCGAGTCCTCTCTGGATCACGGACAAGGAACCGTGCTTGGATCCGTCACCGTGAGTGTCCGTGTAGTGGCTGATGCACTGCTGTCACGATTAAATGCTTTTAATGGCGATGCCGTGCATCATAAGGTCAGCTGATCAGGTCCTGGTACTTACTGTCATACTTGTACGGTGACACGATTTGCAAAAACCCAGATTCGCATCCGTGACGGGTGCTGATGTAGATGAAGCCACGCCCTCAGACATGGCATTGTGTATGCCCCACGCTTCAATGAACCCTGGCTTATTTACTGCATAACAATCAGCAGGAGCAGCTGTCAGCGTTCATTGCGGGACAGTTGTAATATCTGGGCCTGCAGGACATCCAATAAGCATCTCATGTTTATCCTCGTCAGCACGGGATTGCAGCTTTAATGTGTTGTTTTAATCCCAAACCTGCATGTGGTGCATGTGCGTGTTGTCAGTTCAAATCTGAAGTCATCTTTCATCCACAGAGTATGTGGTGAGGTTTTTAAAAATAGATAAATTCCCATAAGATGCTGCTGTCACAGTGAGCAGTGTGAGTTCAGCTTTCAGATTGCTGCAATGGGAAAGACGTTCCAAGGTTGCACTGCAGCTACAGTGATGACAGAGACCCGTGCTTGCCCGTGTGTCCCTCCCTTTCTGCACTGACATGTCTCTCTTAAGAGAGGTAACCGGCGATTCATGCAACTGGCTCACACAAACACTCATGCATATTCACAGAGACTTTTAGTGAGGCTCTATTTTTGTTCAGAGCTGCAGCACCGGCTGTTTGATCTGGCGCTCAGGTGAATTTGTTTCATCTGGCTTGTATGTGTTTTTACCCTGCCTCGACACGCTGATCCCTACAGGATGCAAACTGAAATATACAAGGTCACCGTGAATGAGCACCAGTGTGTTTATTTCAGACAGGGATCCCAATACAGTGTGTGACTGCGAAAGAGGCCGTCTAAGGTGACTGTGAGGTCAGCTGGAATAGGCTGAAGCTAAAAGGTTTGTCCTTTTAATTTAACGTTACTGGATCGATTAGGTAGAACACTCTTTCTTCTCTTCTTCGGTATATTGTCTTTATAAAGAGCTGCACAGGGGACCTCTTATGCTCATTTCCAGCTCCATATTTTATTTTTATTTATTTGGAGTCTGCTGGAGTAGATCTGCATGATTTACAGCTCTTACACAAGGCCTTTGCACCATTTTTCTTCCTGTTGGCTATCCCTCACAAACAGAAGGTTTAAAAGCAGGTGGGTGGAGCTTATGTGATTCAAGCCAGAGCTGGATGCCTGTGATGATTGTACCAGAGATGTCCACTCTCACTGACACCAACTGGAGATGTTAGGAAAAGTGTTAGAAATGGAGAGTTTAGAGGTCTGAAGCCCACTCTTTTGACCCACAGACATTATTTGCACATATCCAGAGCTCATGATTTGAAACTTTGGCCATGTTTCATATGGGTATCCACTACTGTACTGTATATATGACAGGAAATAGAGAAAAGCATAAATGTTCCCCTCCAACCACCGTCTGTTTTTATTTAAGTCTTGCAACTTATGAAACCTGGTGTCTGCAGTGGGTAGGCTGTGGTTTTATGCAGCTTGTTGGCAGGAAGCACTTTGCAGAGTCAGCAGCAGCACTTGTGGTAAAGAGTCTGTAGGGAAAGAGAGACACCCTAATTGAAATGGACTTTGGATCACAGCAGCAGAAAAAGTAAAGGTCTCTCCTTCTCCTCTCTTCTGTCCCCTGCAGGTGTCTGTGTCTGCAGTCTATCGTCTGTCTCGTGTCACCGTTACAACAGTGGAGCTCCAGCTCCATGGCCCCCGTCTCTCTCCGCTAGCGAGAGGTGAGCCAAGCTGGCCTCCCCAGCCCCCTCCTTGTCCCAGGACCCGGAGTCAGAGCCTGAGCCCGACCGGCGGCACAACCACGAGGAGCAGTATGTGAGCGAGGGCGAGTACAACCAGCCCAAGACACGTCCGGAGCCTCCCGACTGCAGGGACGCCGAAACCATCACAGGTGCAGAAGAACTCAGATCATCCAAAAGTCCAAATATAGCAACAAAATTTTCAGTATGCAGCTCACCGTCTGGTGACAGTATTGAAATTACTATTCTAATAAATCTTTTTTTAATAGTTTTATTATTGCTTTTTCTTCTTCTTCTCCTTCTTAAAAAAAGCAATTTTATATGTGCAATTCCAAACGTAATTTTTCAAAATAAAAGTTACTTTTCCACAATTTGCACATGGATGTAGCCATGCATCAAAGTAAAGTGATACCAGTTGGTGAAACTAGTCTTTTACCATTCTGAGCTTGCAGTCATAATTAAGTTAAAATGCACAAGTGTTTCTTTTTGTTTTTAAAGTACAGTATTGCTCGTTTTTCAAAATATTTCACATTAAATAGGACGTGTTATGTTAAATTCCAGCTCCATAGTTTCATTCATGGACTCTACTAGAGTAGCTTTGCACGACTGACAGATCAAGACAATCCTGTGCTATTGGTGTAGCCCCTCAGCTTCCTTTAAGCCAGCTTTCACCTGATTGGCTGCTCCGCGTAAACATTAGCTTTGAACCCACAGGTGTCCAGGGGCCAGAGCCTTGTGCTGTCTGATGTCTTTATTTGAAACATTGGCTGTGTTTAAAACAGGTCCTCTTACCAAAAAAAAAAAAAAGTTTGGAAAAAAGTAACCAAATTTAATTTAACAAAAAAATTTTTTGTCTCTGATTAAACGTAAACCTGCCTTTCAAATGTTTGATCAGATTTAATGTCGGCCATCACAAACCTGACTCACTGTGGTCACGCAGGGAATGAGTGGAGAAAAAACCCACCCGTCTCATCCACCCTCATCCCCTCTCTCTCTCTCTCTCCCTCTAATGTCCAGATGTCTGTAACAGCACTGACCTGCCGGAGTTTGAGATCATCAGTCTTCTGGAGGAGCAGCTGCCGGTGTACCGCTTGCGGGCTGACACCGTCTACGGCTACGATCATGACGACTGGCTCCACACGCCCCTCGTCGCTCCTGAGGCCAGGCTCGACCTGACCACCGAGCAGATCGAAGAGACACTAAAATACTTCTGTAAGTCTGCGCGATCGCACCAGTACTTTAAACGTTTCACACCGAGACAGACTGAAAGCAAGAAGGAAAAGCTGCCGAAGGCAATGATAACAGAACTCTCTACGTAAAGGTTTCAGGTTATAACTGCAGGATTAAAACTGAAACGTTGTTTATCAATATTAAAATTGCAGAAGTGTTTCAGTCAAAAAGCTTTAGACTACAAATAATTTTAATGACAGCAAAAAGTACAAATTGTAGTCGACATGCACTCAAATGGGGTAGATGTTATAAAGAGGTACTCGGGTGTTCTACTTGCCTTTATGGGTCTTTCCCTTAAAATCATTTGAGAACCCCTCCTACAGTAGATGAACAAGACAGGTTTCAAATAGCTCTTTGATGTCTTTTATGAATCTGTTTGACTTAATGCTCAAAGTTAAGCCATAAAAACATTTGGATACCAAGCCCTTTATTTCCGTTTGGCCCTGAAACATGAATGCATCTTCGTTTATTCTGGATAATTGCTGCGCTCCCTGTATATCATATCCGCACTCTGCTTAATTCGCTGCTTTATGAGTAGGCAGAAGAGGTTTATGGAGTAAGGACAGCGCTGTCTGCAGAGGCTTTCTCACATTAAAGATTAATGTGCAATATTAAACAATATTAACTCTTGCTGTCATCGCATTACATTGTTCTTTGAATCTTTGATGGCATTTGTTTATAAAGTACAACCTGAGCCACCAAGCATCCGCCATAAAATCTGTGCAAAATCAAACATGCGGATCATCAAGATGCAGATGAAGGAGGACGTGCAGCTGGTGGGCGTGACACAACAAGATGTGATTAACAGTTTGAAGATCAGATACACTTGAGTAGAGTGATCTTCAATAAGATATTAATGTTAGATTTGGGTTGTTTGTTTTCTATTCTAATCTAGTCTCGTCTGTCTTTGTCCTGTATGGATGAAGCTGGTATTTCAGCTTCTGTCCACATGGTTGTCTCTAATAACCCAGTATGAAAAAGTGGACAAAATGAAAATACGGTGTGTAAAATGTGAATAAAGGCAGAATGCATTGATCTGCAAATCAATGATAAATTTAAGTTAAGTTTAAACATTTAATTTTTTCTGCTATCTGTGTTCTCTTGTGGATAAAATAAGGGTTTATGAGATTTGGAAATCGCTGCATTATCTTTTTATTCATATTTTTACTTACTTAATACTTTGGGAATTGGGGTTGTATAGTTGGTCAAATCTCTCCTATGGCTTTTGCAAATGACTTTTTCCTTGACCCACATGGAAAACTTGCACGATGGAAAGATGTGAAGAAGAATTTAGGTCGTCTAATGAAAAGAGGAAGAATCTGACTGGCTTACTGAGACGTTAGATCGTGTCACGTGAAGGATGTTGTCTGAAACATTGTTGAATTTTTTTCTTCATTTATTTTGTGCGTATCTGAGATTGATTGGTAGAGTTATCATTTCTAAGATTGAGTTTTTACAGTTCAGATAGACTCATCCCTGAGCTTTACTCAGATAAAAGATGATTTCAGCGTTGACATCTTAGCATACAGCTAAGTTGTTTAATTGCTGAGGAAGTTTGATTACGGGTTCCCAGTCTATTGTGTTAGCAGCGGTGCATCAGAATGAATGAGTCAGAAGACAGAGGAAGTGAGGTAATGAAAGAAAAGTGAAAATGAGAGAAGTGGGAGTCACTTCTATTGACTCTGTCCTGGATAATGCATCCTCGCCTGTCCAATCATAACACAACTTCCACTTCACCTCCGCAGCTGTGGAACCAAAACGGATGCACACACGCTCGCTCTCATCTCTCCGCCTACCTTGTTCTCGCTCCACCAACACAGGGACGTCCGTGTGGGTGGAGGGTAATATAGTCTGTAAGCCTGTGATACAGTAGCTGAGCAGTGGCATGAGAGAGACAGAAAGCAAATGGATCAGTGTTTTGGACCAGCGGTCGATTGTCATCAAGGCAAGTGGAGGATACGGACAGCAAGAGCAGAGATTAGAAAGGGATGAGTGTGGGCCGGAGGACTGTTCAATGTTAAGATGCGATCAAATGATTGGGATATTAGTTTCTTTTCAGTACTCTGATTTTTGTTGAATGTCGTTGTTCCTCTTTGCTTCCTGACTGCGGTGGATCACAGGCTGCAGTCTCATCATTTCAGAGCTCCAGTAATGCAGAAAAGCTGTATTATTTCTTGCTGATAGTTTTGCTCCGGTGTTTGTTTCTTAGTTAGTTCGCCTCACTAAGATGACGCATGTCTCCTGTCTAATTTCCACGGCTATCTGTTGTACCCCTGTAAACCAGCGCTGATCACTGTTTCAGTGCCATCACCTAAATTTGCTTTCAGAAATGGGAAGTTTTTGTGTTGTTTAGAGTACCAACAGGATTACAGAGGCTTACCATAATGGATTCGATAACTTTGTGCGGCACGTTATCGATTCGAGCTCTGAAGTCAATAATTGCTGCCACCCCCGCGGCAGCAGAGCAACCACGCTGTGCGCCATGGAACACGACCCTTTCCCCTTTAACGCCTGCTCGTGCATTTCCAAACAGCGGTGATGGAAGTGTTGCACGCTATACGTGGCACGTCCACTTCCTCTGAGTGTGTAAATACTCTTTGTGTTACATAATGGGGCCGTTTTTGCATGCAGTCACACATGTTTGCGGATCACAACTCAAGTGATGGGATGACCAGAAGGTCATTCAGTGTTTTCATGTTCGGTTGGGTTTTCTTTTTTTTGTTTTTTCCACAGTGCTATGTGCAGACAGAGTGGGCCAGATGACGAAAACCTACAATGACATTGATGCTGTCACACGTTTGTTGGAAGAGGTGAGGTATTTTAATTTTGCCAGTTCTTTGAGGGTAAATTGAAGCTTTTCTTTTTTTTTAATCAGACCAAATGATAATGAGATGTTCCTCTCCTCTGTTTGCTTCTCCTACATTGCAACCAATAGAAAGAGAGAGATCTGGAGCTTGCTGCAAAGATTGGCCAGTCGCTCCTTAAGAAGAACCGGACTCTCACAGAGCAGAAGGAGTATTTGGAGGAACAAGTGGGACAAATCACAGAGGAGGTATGCCTCACAGAAATTTAGACCAGGAAAAATTGTTTTGGTGCTACAGGTGTTGAACAGTACCTGTCCTCCTGCAGGTTGCCCAGCTGCACCATGAGCTGAACCTCAAGGATGAGCTGCTGCAGTTTTACACCAATGCAGCTGAAGAGATCGAGGATGAATCCAGCAGTTCCCCAACGTTAGTTTCCTTTCTTAATGTCACTCCTAAAACGTGTGAATACTGTTACCATTTCACAGGTGGAAAAATATAACCTCACTTGTACTGGCTGTAAATTCCATGCTAAAATTTGTGTTCGTCTCCTGAAGGGGTAAAAAAAGCAAAGTGGAAACTGCTTCAGGAGGCTTTGTGAGCGACACGCTCCAAAAGAAACTCAAAGAGCTGGAAGAGGAGAACCTGTCACTCCGCTCAGAGGTATCACACGCAGTATTGAGAGAAACACGGGAGGTGAGTTACCAAAACGGCTCAGAGTATTTTGTGTAATTGTGGACGTCTACTCGCAGGCTAACCATCTAAAGTCAGAGACCGAAACTTATGAAGAAAAGGAGCAGCAGCTTGTGAACGACTGTGTCAAAGAGCTCAGTGAGTTTTGTCTCGCCACCAATTTCTTTTTTGGAGCTTCTGTGTGTGAAATTGCCTGTTTTTCTTTACACAACTCCCTCCAAGAGTTTGCATGCTGTGTAATATTTGAATAAAAACACAATGCAATCACTCTACAGTATATAATATGGCTGCAGCTTCCAGGGCAGAATATTGAAGCCAGAGTGGAAGTGTCTTAAATCTGGATTCTACTGGATGGCAAAAGCTGTGGTAGACTTCCTGTCCTATATGTATCTGTCCCAAAAGTCTACAAGAAAATGGCTTTATGACTTGACCTCTTTAAACACTGACTTGGTTTGGATCATGCTGGATAAAAAGTTAAGTCTGTGAAGGGTTATCTTTGGTAAGAAACTCCAAGTTCAATAGCTGATCATTTTCACATTTTGTCACATCTTGTCAAGTAGTTAGTAGTAGTTCGAGTTTGTTGTTTCATAGTGAGACACTTTCTTCTTCATCACATCTGCGGCTTTGCAATAAAGTAACAGCGAAAATGCATCGTCAGAGCAGTACTTCAGAAATCATTGAGTGATGTCATGGTAGCTACATCCACCTTTTATATTGTCTATGGCAATGATGCAACTCATTTAGAATCATATCTTGTTACAACTTTATCTAATTTTTAATTGGATTTAATCAGCATTTTTGAAGAGCAGACAACAGACTGAAAAATATATAGTGAAAAAAAACAATTTTTGTGGAAGGGTGGAGTGCCCACTCCGGGTCAGGGACAAGTTCCTGCCCCAAGTGGAGGAGTTTAAGTATCTCGGGGTCTTGTTCACGAGTGACGGGAGAAGGGAGCGGGAGATCGACAGACGGATTGGTGCGGCGGCCGCTACCGGTCTGTTGTGGTGACGAGAGAGCTCAGTGTAAAAGCGAAACTCTCAATTTACCGGTCGATCTACGTCCGTACCCTCACCTATGGTCACGAGCTGTGGGTAGTGACCGAAAGAACGAGATCGTGAATACAAGCGGTGGAAATGGGCTTCCTCCGAAGGGTGGCTGGACTCTCCCTTAGAGATAGGGTGAGAGGTTCAGCCATCTGGGAGGGGCTCAGAGTAGAGCCGCTGCTCCTCCACATCGAAAGGAGCCAGTTGAGGTGATTCGGGCATCTGACAAGGATTCCTCCTGGGTGAGGTTTTCCGGGAGGCCCCGGGATAGACCCGGGACACGCTGGAGAGATTATATCTCTTGGCTGGCCTGGGAACACCTTGGTGTTCCCCCAGACAAGCTGGAGGAGGTGGCTGGGGAGAGGGAGGTCTGGGCTTCTTTGCTTGGGCTGCTGCCTCTGCGACCCGGCCCCGGATAAGCGGAAGAAAATGGATGGATGGATGGATGGATGCCGCTCCCTGAGCCTGGCTGGAGTTTTTTCCTGTTAAAAGGGAGTTTTTTGTTTCCACTGTCAGAGTGGTCGCTCACAGATGTATGACAGTTTGTTTATAACAAAAAAAAAAATGCCCTCCATAACTCGAAAATTGGAGAAAATAACTTCAAATTTCAAGTAATGGATGGGAGTTTTATTTTTTCAGTGGTGGAATCAAGCTTCTATGCACGGGGGATCAGTTGATTGTTGGTTGGTTGTCTCTCTAACACTGTCGTGCAATGTAAAGCACCTTGAGCTGACCGTTGTTGTGAATGTATAGAAATTGTGCTGCATGCCCCTGTTTTTGAAGTTAGCAGTAGCAAAGTCAAAATGACTGTTTTTTTTAAACCTTAAAAATTATTATTTTTAAAGTTTTTATTTCAGTGTTTCATTGCACTTTAAATATAAATTTGAAGTGTTCTGATTTCATTTATATTTTATGTGCAGTGCAGAAAAATGTTTTTTCTCAACACATTTTGATCTCATTTTTCTCTGTGCTCTTTTTGAACTCCCTGTCAAACTTTAAGGGTTGTCCAGTCTTCAGATTTCTGCTATAGCAGAGGAACTGGCCCGTAAGACTGAAGACGCATCACGACAGCAAGAAGAGATCACACACCTGCTCTCTCAGATAGTAGATCTGCAAAAGAAAGCCAAATCTGTGAGTATATAAGCACACAGGTATATACTTTGACTGGTTATATTTTTACTGGTCTTGTCCTGTTTAGCTGTTTGCTCAGTCAAAGCTGCATTTGTGTGTCTAGTATGCAGTGGAAAATGAGGAGCTCTCTCAACACCTGCTGGCAGCTAAAGATGCCCAAAGGCAGCTCACAGCAGAGGTAACTTCTCTTTGCTTTCCAAGCTTGTCCCCAATCACAGTTTGTTCCCTAAATACTGTGAATGTGAGTTTAATTGCTGTGTTTACAATACAACAGCTCCAGGAGTTAGAAGAGAAGTACTCAGAGTGCATTGAGATGTTGCATGAAGCTCAGGAGGAGCTGAAGAACCTGAGAAACAGAAACTACCCTGCAGGAACCCCACGCCGATATCACCCGCTGGGACTGTACCCGATGGTGAGTTACTGTAAAAGTGTGTGTGCCTCTCTTTGCTTGTAGGCATTGTCTTCCCCTCTTAAAAGTTTATATGTTGCAGGACTCTCTGGCAGCTGAGATTGAGGGAACGATGAGGAAGGAGCTGAGTCTTGATGACCCAGAGTGTGAAGAACAGAAGTAGGTATTCATGGATGCATACTAGATGCCAATTCCCAAACATGGGAACAGGTTTGGGAATTGTTTGATCAAAAGAGTAATGGACAGACAGTAGAAATAGATAGCCAAAATAAATATACTACGGTGAAAAGTAAATGCATAAGTAATTGTCAAAAAAAGTGATAAACTAGCCAGCATAGCTCACTAAAAGTCTTTTCAAAACTTTTTCTAAAAGTATACATAAGCAGTAGCGGTTTTTGATACAGGTGACACGGGCAGTTGCCCGGGGCGACATCATGGTGGGGGGCGTACTCATGCTGCCCCGACATCAGCCAGCGCATATCGGGAATGGCATAGGCACTGATTGGTTTTCTATCGCCCATTTGCTGGGAGTAAGGGTGCCCTCCGTTTGCGAGGTGCGGCTGCTGCTTGCGGCACAGGAAGGTGAAGGCGGGGCGGCGGTGGATTCTCTGGCTGGCTGGAGC